CCGTTGAAGCCGGTGTCAATCCCGAGACTCGAGCTGCAAGCGGCCCTCCTAGGAAGCAGATTGGCACACTCGGTCGAGGAAGAAATGGATCTGAAAATAGAAAAGAAGACGTTTTGGACAGACTCCAGTATCGTGCTATCATGGATCAAGACGGACCCGAGAACCTTCAAGACATTCGTGGCTCATCGCTTGGCGGAGATAGAAGATCTCACAAAACCACAGGACTGGAGATGGGTACCGACGGCGCAGAACCCTGCAGATGATGCAACACGTGACGTACCAGAACACTTCGACTGCCAACACCGATGGTACACCGGACCAGGGTTTCTAAGAAGAGATGAAGTTCACTGGCCTGCGGCAAGAACATTCAAGAAAGAAACCACTGGCGAAGAAAGGGCAGCGGACATCGTAGCGACTGCAGGCAGCTCCTATCCATCACCAGATCCCGAAAAGTTCTCGTCGTGGAAAAGACTTTGGCGAGCTACAGCAAGAGTACTGCAGTTCATACAACTCTGCAGAAGAAAGGAAAAGGTCCACGCCAGCAAAGAAGATCCTACCTGGAAAACTACAAAAAGGAATAAGAAAATTGTTGAGAAGCGACATCTGTCTTCAAAAACGTCAGAAAGGAAATACATACCATTGGAAACAAGTCTACTAGAGCAAGCTGAAACGCTGTTGTTAAGAAGAAGTCAAGAGAAATGCTTCAAAGAGGACATCAGGTGCCTACAGCAAGGAAAACAATTAGAGGGCAGCAGCAAGTTGAAAAGGCTCGACGTAGTGCTAGAAGAAGGTCTCCTGCGACTGAAAGGAAGAATCGACGCGATACGAGGGGTTACCAGAGACTACAAACGACCCATCGTACTCGACAGCAAGGACAAGACAACACTTCTCATCATAGAAGAATTTCACTGCCGCTTCAATCACGGGAATCACGCGACCGTAATGAACGAAGTAAGACAACGCTTCTGGGTGCTAGGACTGAGGTCAGCGATCAAGACCATTCAACATCAATGCCAGTGGTGCAAAACAAGAAAGGCAAGACCTCAAGAACTACCAGTGGGCAACTTACCTGCTGAGAGGCTGATGCACGGAAACCCTCCATTTACGTGCACGGGAATAGATTACTTCGGCCCTATGACGATCACCGTAGCAAGACGCCATGAGAAGAGATGGGGTGCTCTATTCACATGCTTAACAACACGAGCTGTACACATTGAGCTCACTCCTTCACTCTGCACTGACAGCATGATCATGGCACTACGACGATTCGCCGCGAGAAGGGGAATGCCAAAGATAATCTACACCGACAATGGCACTAACTTCGTTGGCGCCAACAAAGAACTCAAAGAAGCACTAGACACCATGAAGCAAGAAGACCTTATCTCGGAAGCGGAGAAGATCGGCGTGCAGTGGAAGTTCATACCTCCTGGTGCACCAAACATGGGAGGTGCATGGGAGCGTCTGGTGCGATCCATTAAAACCGCACTGGACGCCACGCTCAACGAAAGGCAACCACGAGAGGAGGTACTTCATACCCTCCTGTTAGAGGCCGAGCACATAGTCAACTCTCGGCCCCTCACCCACCTCTCCGAGAACCCTGAAGAAGAAGCACTTACACCGAACCACTTTCTCATCGGGCGATCATGTGGCGCAGCAAGAATCGGCAGCTTCGAGGACAACGAGCTTGTGGGCAGACACACCTGGAAGGCTACGCAGCGACTTACGGATCACTTCTGGCAACGTTGGCTGAGAGAGTATTTGCCCACTCTACTACCAAGGAAGACCAAAGGAAGAGTCAGCGCCACAGATTTGCAAGTCGGAGACATCGTACTGATCGTCGATCACAGCCTACCAAGATGCATCTGGCCACGCGGAAGAATCCTGCATGTGTATCCTGGACCAGACGGGCGGACCAGAGTCGTCGACGTCGAGACCAGAGGAGGTGTTCTACGGAGGCCCAGTTCGAGAGTGGTGCTGTTGGTGCCGGGAGCGTCGCCGAGTCCAGGAGTTGGTGCAAAGCACGAGGGGGAGAGTGTCGGCGACGGAAAACTTATCTTCGAGTAACGTGTGTATTAATATAGGGACAATGTCATTTTAGCGTATTATGAATAATTGTTGTAAATATGAAATCTCATTCTTATTAGATTTATTATGTTAAAATAAGTTCTAATTAGTGTAATAAGGTTAGTTTAGAGTATTTTTTGCTTATTTGAATCATATAAGACTATTTAACATTAATTTGAAAGGAATAGGTACGTAAGTAAAATGTTAGCATATAATTACGTAACTTGAAAATGAGATTTTTTGTTTCTTGCAATAGCATAATAGTTTATGTTTTAAATAATAGATTTTATTATAAAACTTATAATAAAACAAGAATTAGGTCGATAGGACTATCCGTTCAAAAGTTATAAGGGAAAATGTATAGTAAAAATGTAGCAACCTAGAAATTTAGATATTTTTGTTTTAAGACTTTTTTAATTAATTATTATATATTGAATATTATGTTTTAATATTGTATAATAGTATGTAAGGCATGTAAATAAATAAATATGTGTAAGGTGTTTTACTGAAAACATAAAATAAAAGGACTCTCAAGGTTTCGGTTTAGGGAAATTTTATTCGAAAAACGAGCTCAAAGTACGCGGCTCTCTGTAAGGTATTAACGGGCCAAATAAAAGGCGAGCCATTTCTCGATTCGAGTCAGTCGCAAGACAGCCACCGAAGAGGCAACAACTAAAAGGAAAAGGAAGAACCGAAACCAAGAGAGAAAAAAGGAAAAAATTGTGTTTTATTTCATCGCCTCTAAGTATAGTCTCCTGTCAACGAAGAAACCCTAGTGGATCGGGACCCAAGCTACGCATTCAGGGGTGCGTGGTGGCGTACATTACCAGCGAACGGACATACTGCCGTGTACGCCAAGAACGTCTGGGAGATTGTCCCAGGTCGACCTCCGGGTACTAGACATACCCTGGTTCTGGTCGTCCGAAACAATATTTATATTATAGATTTAAGAATATTTGAGAAACTACTTTGAATATAGTTATGAGTTTTCACGGGAACCGGAGAGACAGCTAACTTCATCATGTAGCTTTTTGACTTTTTTACTTTCTATTTTTCTCCAAACGTGCCAAAGGAAGTATAACTTCATAAACTCTTTGACTTTGAAAAAAGATTTTTTTCAAATCGGATTAGTAGTTCCTGAGGTTAGCGCGTTCAAACAAACTAAAAAATAAACTCTGCCTTTTTATAATATTAGTATAGATGATAGATGAAATACAAAATTTAGTTTTATAATTATATATTTTTATGTTTGTTTATTAGAAAATTTTATAATTAATATAGCTAAAAATTTTTGTAACACCGTCTGTCTATATAAGATATTGTATAGTCACATAAAAGATATAAATCTATACAGTAAAAAAAAATCTTTATACTTTTTTAGCATTTTAAAGTATAATCGCAATTCAGAGTGATTGAAAAAATATTTAAATGGTCTTAGAGACGCTAAAACTCGTGTACATTCTGTAATCTGTATACTTTACTATTCGTATGTTGTTAAATTCGACTGATGAAATTTCAATAGATTTAGTTTTTATTATAATACTCAGGCTTTATAATATTTCCTATGTGCTTGTATATACTAATGTACTATACGAAATTTAAAAAAAAAAACATGAAAAAAGATTTTTAATAAAAAAATAATAATTTGGAATCTTGCATTTTTATTTAAAAAAAATTTGTTACCTACTGCATAGTTGCAAGTTGCAAGCAACATATTTCTCATTTTATTTCTTAGTACCTGAGCGACCGAGCTTCGCTCGGAGTTTTTGACCAGAAAAACATTAAAAAAAAACAAACAAAAAATTTGAATAAATAAAAAAAAAAAACAAAAGTAACAACTTTGTATCGGACCGGGATACGAACTCAGACACCTGTAGTATACAAACTTGCACCTTGGCCGCTTGACCACGATGCTTATGTCCTAGATTGCGAATTAGCGACCATATTTTGTGTGGAATAATGCCAAACAAAACCGCATGAAATCTCGAAAACACGTGTTTTCCCAGACATAAAACGAATCTAGATCGATTCATCGCCACCGAAACCCACTGTATACTAAATTTCATGAAAATCGTTGAAACCGTTTCCGAGATACCAAAAATATATAAGATAAATGAAAATATTTTAAAGTTAGACTTATTAGAAATAGTAATATTCACTCGAATATGTTTCTTTCTATTACAGATAAAAAAGTAGAAAAAACCCAATATCGCTATCATCTAACTTTTGAATTGGAAAAACAAACTGTTATATTATTTATAATTGTCATGTTTTTTTTGGCTTCATTTCAACACAGTTTAAATAAAACCAATGCAATTCTTCTTTTGTTTTCAATTTTTTATCTTGTTTTCAATCATGTCAATAATTACATCACGTTAATGTTAACATCATAGATAAATAATTTCTTTCAAAATATAATGAATAAAAAGCAAGTATTACTAAAGTTTTATTATTTTGTAACTTTATAATGGGCAATGTATTGGGGTGGGTCAAATAAAATAATAAAAAAATATATAATTTTAATCAATTTATTACACAATCAAGTATTAAAAACTAGTTTTTACATTACAATGAGGAAAATACTCTGAAACAATAAATCACTTGACAATATATTTTTTTTTTTACATTTATTGAAAAAAAAACTAAAGTTTATTTTATTATACCTATCTTTCTCATAGTTTTTTAAAGGAAATGAACAAAAAAGGACTAAATAATAACATTAATTATATAAAAAAAACAAATGAAACTGAATTGAAGCCTGAAATAAAATTATACTGACATAATTGTTTACTATTTATTTTCTTTAACAAAAAAAAAATCATTAATACAAAAATAAAAAATAAAAACCTATTATGTAGCAGCATTGATACTGACGGAGATAAAATTAATTAAGATTAAAAAATAACATAAGTACTAAAATTAAAATACTAATTTTAAACAACGCCAAGTTGATCCTTCAGCAGTTTCGTTTCTTCTATTAAAGCTGATATTTGAGACGTCCTAAAATTAAAAAATATATATCAAAGAATATAAAAAGATATAATATTTTCTTAGATTTACGCAATATTTGATGTATTGAATAAAATTATCCTTTCGGATTTATTTCGATGTTTGGTTCCCGACGTTTCGAATGCTTTACAGCTATCGTAGCCACGGTCATCGTTCTCACTGAGACTAACCAACTGCAGTAGATATTATAGTGCAGGCGTGTGAGAGAGAGCGCACACACAACGTGCACTCTGTCCCTCTCACTCTCTACTCTGGTGGGATCACAATTCGACAAGACCGTTAAAAGATCAGAGGATTGACAATTAAACGTGCCAACTCTGTGCTAAGTTTTCGTAACAGAAAAAACAATATTTTTTGGCACGATCCGGGATTCGAATCCAAAACCTGTGGATCTGTAGACGTGTATGTAGTAACCACTAAACCAACAAACGTCTTAATTGACACTAATATTATAAAGAAGTATATAAGTTTGTATGTGGGGTACACTCTAAAACTACTGATTCGAGTCTAAAAATTCTTTCAACAACAGGAAGCTACATTGCTGCAGAGTGCTTGAGGCTACTTTTATATATAAAATATATTTACTGTCAGAAATCATAATAACTTAAATTGAAGCCGGTAAAAAACGACCTTTAGGGTACTTCATCGACAATTTTTGGTTATTTATAATAATGTTATTGTTTTATTATTGCTAATTATCTAGTGATGCGCGAGTGAAGTCAGGGTATGTCGCAAGTCCATTAAAATGGGGAAGGTTCTGTTGGGTTGTAGTGGGTACTAGCGACTCACCGTCCCGAGGTTCATCCCTAGCTTGATTCCCAATACGAACTTTCATCCCCATTTTCACCCCCTTACGGGATGATTTCTGGGATGAAATATAGGTCTCATACTGTCTTCTTACCAAACTGCCTCAGTGGTGTAGTGGCTAGCATGTACGGCTGCACACCCGGAGGTCCTGGGTTCGAGTCCCGGGTCGGGCCAAGTTTAGTTATTGAGTCTTTCTGTATAGTAAGTCTCAGTAACAGCCCGGAGTTGGGAAGTTGGCGGTGTTTCACCCCCGTGCCTCGGAGAGCACGTAAAGCCGTCGGTCCTGCGCCTTAACTCTTGCCGGTCGTGTCGAGCAGTCGTCCCACCGGAGTATGAGAGTAATAGGAATAGAGAGTGCACTTGTGTCTGCGCGTACATTTGTGCACTATAATATCTCCTGCGCAGTTGGCTAGTCTCAATGAGATTGGCCGCCGTGGCCGGAATCGGTCAGAAGAACATCATCTTACCAAATTTCATCTAAATCGGTTCAGTAGATCCAGAGATTACCCCGTACATCGTAACAAACTCACAAACTTTACCTCTTTATAATATTAGTATAGATTACTGGTTTTTCTAGCCAATGAGTCCTACATAATCAGCTGTAAATATCAAGTGGTATGCGTAAATGCATTTCCTAACATGAAGAAAAACGTATCTCGCAAATAAAATGTAAGAACACTCACTGCTGCTGCAGTATGGAGGAAATGGTGTCGCTGTGGGACCTGCCGAGCACTGTGTTCTTCTTTTTGTATTCTTCTTGACGTTTCTTTATCTGGAAATACAATATGGATAATGCATAATTATACAATTGTAAAAGAATATCCATCTCCAAAATTTAGTGTAAACTAAAAAAAAAACCATATCGTTAAGTTACGGATATTTCAAACGCACGCCATTTCGCACGCTTGGCGTGACGTCACAGTATGATATACACAGAGAAATTATATACTCTGACGTCATATTCGTTTTGAATATTGGCGTGCTTTTCAACTACTTTAAATTTTCCACAGGTTTGGCAATTTTTAAAATTTATTTTCTTAATCAACAAGCAATTACATTAAAAAATATGAATACAGGCTTAATTCAAAAGTAATAAAGATAATAAAAATAACGTGTGTGTGTACTTATGTACGTAAACACAACAAAAACAGAACAAAAATAGTTAAAGATATCATCCCATACGTCACAACTTTCTCTTTGTAATGCAGCTAACTTCATTCTGTCGCTTTTTGGCTGTAAACATTTTAATGTCATATTTTTTCCAAACGTGCCAAAAGAAGTAAGCTTCGTGCTAACGTGCCAAAAAAATACAATGCAGCACCCCTACCTCGTCGCTCTTCCCGGCGGCGTGGCGGCGCAGGTCGTCGAGACGCGCGGCGGCAGCGCGCACGGCGCGCTGCTGCTGCAGCAGCTCGCCCAGCGCGCGCACCTCCTGCGCGCTGCTGCCGCCCGTGCGCAGCGACCGAATCGCCGCGCTGCATCTGCACACACACACACACACATATATAATTAGGGTGGGGTGAATCAGACCAAAAGAATTTTTTTTAATCTCCTGTAACATAATTCTTTAATCAATGACCTTCAGAAAGAACTTTATTCATACTAAAATTCAAGAGTCTAACTACGACTTTATCGTCAGGTGGCGCACTGACAAAGGAAACAAGTATCAGTACCAGAGTAAAATGCGCCACACTTACCACAAAGGTTAATTTGTTGTGTGATTGCGGGCCAAGAAGCCAAGAAGTAGGGGTTGTTTCATTCATAACTGATGAGACGTACGAGTACGTGTATGAGACCGAGATCGAGACCTCGGTCGGACCTTAGAAACCATATACTGATTCTAGTTTTGAAACGTCAAACGCGTCCCTGAGTTAACGCAGAACGAGGGTTTAATATCACCATCTTGTCTGATGTCATCGGATATCCTTATTCAATGACATCAGAAAATTCTAGACCAACTTATAAAGGATTTATTCAATTATTTTGTGTGTATCACGTGATATTTTCGCCAATTGTGAACTGATTTTATAATATATTTTTTTTGATAAATACGTTATATTTTAAGGGTGATATATATGTATATATATAATTTCCATCTCTAAGGGTAGAATAATTTCAATACTTTTTAGTCAAAAATTAATAATAGTTCTTGGCAAGAAGTCATAATGTGAACAGTGGATATCTCACCTATATTTTAAATCGTCCTGGTGTTTCTCAGCCAGAGCTCGTTTTTGTTTCAAGCTTTCTGATTGTTTCATCACGATTTCTATTTCTTTCTGAAAAATAATTAAAAAAATATCAATATCCATACTAATATTATAAATGTGAAAAGTTTGATGTGTTGGATGTTAGTTACTCAATCACGCCAGAAGGGCTGAACGGATCTGGATGAAATATGGCACAGAGTCGGGAATAGTACATTGATTACTTTTTATGGAAATTTTTATCCAGAAAAAAGTACAGTTTACGTGGGATAGATATGTTTTGTCTAGGGTATAGGTCATATATAATAGAGTCTAACCTAAACCTAAGCGAGGGGCAATTTAAAAAAAATAAATGAAAATACTTGTTTTTTGCCATATGCAATCTATGTGAATTATCGAAACGATTGAAAACATATTTAAATGTGTTGAAAGAAGTTGAAGGTTTTACTGGTAGCGTTAATCTTTTGCAGAATTTCACAATCCATCTCTTGGCTCCCATCAACAGAACAGCTCGACGATATCAAATCGTTCTTCCGCTTGCTTTCCTTTTGGTTATGAGTGTATGTGTGTAATTGCCTTGTAGGTCTAGTAGCTAGCATTTATGGTCGTAGATCGGGAGTTTATGGGTTTGAATCCCGGGTCGAGCTAAGTGTAGTTATTGAGAGAGTAGATATTAAGAAATTTATAGTAACATCTCAGAGTTGGGAGGTTGACGATGTTTCAGAGAGCACGTAAATCTGTCGGTCTTGCACCTTAATTCTCACTGGTTAAGAAATAGAAAGTGCATATTGTATTAAACTCTTCTTTTTTTTTCTTCTGTCTGCACTAAAATATCTGCTAGAGGCTTCCTGGTAAATTTTGAGATTTTTGATCAGTGGTTCAAAAATATCGAATTTTTAAAAGTCTGTTTTTTTTTTGGTTTTTCGCTCATATCTTTCTTAATAATGGTCGAGGTTCACTTTTTTTTCAAAATTTTTGCTTTTGGATTACCTTTATATAAAATATATGTATAAAAAATATTTAAAATGTTTTCATCGAGACTTTTAAATTTTAAGTTTTCAATCGTGTTTTTAAAACTGTGTGTTCTTCGATTTTCGAATCGAATCCTTCGATTTTTTTTTCTATTTTGAACTTCTATCTATTAAACAACATTTAAGCCCAAACCGGTAGTGAGCCCTACATAATTACTATTTCTTGTGGATTATTAAAAACTAAAAATATATTTTTTTGAATCGTCCGATCTGTCGTGGAATGCCCTATATGTATGTATGTGTGTGTACGTGTGTGTAGGTACGCACCTGCAGGTCGGCCCGCCAGGCGCGGTGGCTGTCGGCGAGCGCGCGCAGCGCGGCGGCCTTGCGCGCGAGCGCGGCGGCGGCGCGCTGCTGCCGCGCCATGTACTCGCCGCGCAGCCGCACCGTGCTCGCCGTCAGCAGCTGCGCGGACATACTCCTTTATATATACTACAGTTCGCCGAGTGGTCGAAATTCAACCATGATTATTATTGTTTTTTTTTATAAGACTAAAACTCTTCAATAGCTATTAAATTAAAACAAATAATGAAACAGATCGGTTCACAAACGAAATGTTTATTTTAATTAATTTACTTATCCTTCCCAGAGTCTCAAACTATCTTCTTACCAAATTTCATCTAAATCGGTTCAGTAGATCCCGAGATTATCCCCTACAACGTCACAAACTCACAAACTTTACCTATTTATAATACATAAAGTATAAAGTATAGATAATTTTACTCGCGTTTTGTAAAACCTAGAATTTCAACAAATACACCAAAATTTAACTTTTTACTCTTACATTCAAACCGACAAACATATAATCTTTACCTTTTTTTTAATAATAATGTGAATTTTATTCATATTTTTTATGAATACATATATTGTTAGTGGCATTACAATGAGATCATAATTTACCTCCAAACACTCCTGAGGACTAGGCTCTTCTTTTTTATCCAATTTGAGTATCGGCTGAGACACTTTTCTATCTAACACTTCTTGAATAATTGCAGTGAAGGATAATTTTTGCCTCTGAAAGGGAATTAAAACAATATTAATTAATATTTATTATTAACTAGTTACTGTCTATGGATTTGCTTGCAAAATAAAAATAAATAATATATAAGAATAGTCAAAGGCTACTCTACATACAGAAAAATGAATGTTCGTATGTTGTCCTCTACGCCTTCGTAAACCATTGATCCGATTGTGATGAAACTCTGGTGGGTTATTTTGTATATGCCTGCGAAGGTTTCTGGCGTATTAAAAAAATATTTGGAAATTTGTCTTTTGTACGTTCATAAACCATTCAAGCGTAGTTACGCACCCGAGCAAAGTCATGGTAAGTAGCAAGTTAATAATGAAAAAAGATACTAAAACGTATATTATGATACGTACCTCTTTTAGTAAGCTATTGATATCATCTTGATCCAACGCGGGGTTTTTCAATTGAATCTCTTTGTAGAGTTGCTCTTCTAAGTTCCAAGGATCTAATGTTCTGAAAACATAGTTGTTTAACTAAACTATTATTTTTCTATTACTGCAGAAAAATATTGAAGTAAAATACGGACGAATATGTCATTTCAGTATATCATTTCTTCTCTTTCCCATAAACAAGACGGAAAGAGGCAGATAGATTGCAAACTCGCCTAATAAAGTCATGTATATCTCCCTTTCTTTCCCACACACCATAAGAAAGAAAGAGACAAAATCCATAAGAAAAAAGACAAACTTTCTCAAGCTCATTTAACTGTTCAACTCATTTAATAATGTCCTCGCCACCGATTCTGGCCACGGCAGCCAATCTTACTGAGACTAGCCAACTGCAGGAGAAATTATAGTGCAGGCGTGTGAGAGAGAGCGCACACACAACGTGCACTCTCGTCTCTCTCACTCTCATATTCCGGTAGGATGGCAACACGACACGACCAATAAGAGTTAAGACGCAGAACAGGCTTAACGTCCTCTGCCTCGGCACGGGGGTGAAACACCGCCAACTTCCCAACTCCGGGCTATTACTGAGTAACTAAACTTACAGGACTTCTCGTTCAGCATTGTACATGCTAGCCAAGATTGTTAGACCATCTAGGCATTACTCACCTAATAACTAAGTCGCCATTACATAACAAATACAATGCGCGTCGCAGCGGCGTGACGGCGAGCGCGGCGCAGGCACGCGTCGTGGACACAAGATGGCGCGCGCAGCTGGGCTTTGTGCAGATCGCTTGCAGTATCGACTCCATTTCACCTTGGAAATTATATATTACTTATCATCTATACATCCATCCAATATGTTTAAACGAGCAATTCTTATATATTTATACCGGAGATCTCGAAAACGGCTCTAGCGATTTCGCTGAAATTTGGTATGTGGGGGGTTTTGTGGGCGAAAAATCGATCTAGATTTGTCTTATGTCTGGGAAAACGCGTGTTTTCAAGTTTTCGAGCGATTTCCTTTCGCATTATTCCACGCAAAATATAGGTCGCTAAATTCGCACTATCGGGCATAAACATCGTGGTCAAGGCGCAAGATTGACAATCACAGTTGTCCGGGTTCGAATCCCGGTCGGATACAAAGTTTTTACTTTTGTTTTTTTTGTATTTATTCGAGTTTTTAGTTTTATTTTTCGGTTTTAAGCCAAATTAAATAGAAAAAATTTCGAGCAAAGCTCGGTTCCCAGGTACTATAATAAAACAGGCACTACTTGTTACATGAAATATTTTTTTAAAACAATGACTGTAACGTATTGTGTACAGAATATAGACTCCGAAACAATAGTTATTAAAGATTTTGCCTGTTTGTAAGTCTGTGTGTTTCACACAAAAAATACAATCTCTAATACAATATCACTGCTACTGCAATACGCTTCAACTATTTTTATCTATTTAAAATACACCCAGGGACGTACCTGGGCGAAGCGAATCTAATTCGCTTTACTTTAAGCTTTTAAAAGTTTGTGGTCAATGACAATATATTTTTTTATTATGTAAAACCATAGCCCATGACTAAAGCGTTTGTAATAGCGATTGACTCTGGCTTAGTTTTCGTTAGGTTTAATATTAACCTATGCGTTACTCCACGTCGTAATCTGTATACGAAATTTCATCCCAATCCATCCAGCCATTTCGGCGTGAAGGAGTAACAAACATACACACATACAAACTTTCGCATTTATAATTAGTAGTCGATTATATGTTATTGTAATATTTAACTAATAAGCAATGTTATAGTATAATTTTATTTCACGTTTATTTTTTTTATATTACTGAATGTACACACATACATATCTTATCTATACATATAATAAAATTGTAACTAAGCCGAATCTGTACATTAAATATTTTTTGGAAAATCTTATTGAAATAGTCATTATTATCGATACTGAGGCCGAATCTATAATTTTTAGAATTTTTGTCTGTCTGTCTGTTACCGCATCACGTGGAAACTACTGGACAGATTTTGATCAAATTTGGTATGGTGATAGCTGGTTATCCGGGTCATCATTGAGAAATCTATACAAAACGTAAGTAGGGACGAACCTGAACAAAGCGAGGGTGAGTCGCTAGTCTTACATACATTATTATATACATAGGCCAAATTTCTTAAAGGAAAATTTATAGTTTATACCAATAAGAAGATATAATAATGCACTTTCTAAATATTTTTATATAAAAAATAAAACCTTATAATAATTCACTTAAAAATAGAAGTAAATAATAAATTACAATATATTTTTGATATGGCATTTTAAAAATTTAAATTTAAGTAGTTATATTAAAAAAAAACCAGGACAAGTGCGAGTCGGACTTGCCCACCGAGGGTTCCGTACAAATTTGTAGTAAATCTGTTCAACTTTAATTTTAAACTTTTTTTATTTTTTGGAATTTGTCTTTTATTTGTGCTGTAAGACCTTGCTTTTTGACAAATTTCGTGATTCTAGGTCAACGGGAACTACCATAATATAGGTTTTCGACCCAAAACATAGGGTACTTCCGATTCACCTAGAATTGTCAATTTTCAATTGGTTAAAAGCAACGTCTTACAGAACAAGTAAAGGAATAATTCCGAAAAATAACAAAGTTTTTTTTAAGGTAAACTTTGGTACTTACAAGTTTTCGCGAAAATCGAAACTTGCCCATATCTTTTTATCGTGTTGACTCTGGGCCTTGATTTTATACACCTAATATAGACCTCAGTATCTGGTATAAATTTCAACTTGCTAGGCCCACCCGTTCCTGAGAAAATCGGTGGTGACACGCGGACAGGCAGAAGGACAAGAGAGTGATCTTATAAGGGTTCCTTTTTTACCATTTGAGGAACTGAACCCTAAAAAAATCTTAAATACTCTCTTATTAAATAGTCGGGTCGGGAAATCTAACACAATAGTACATACTCTCATCTGCCAAGGCGTAATCCGACAATCTGTCCAAAGCTGGGATAGTGACCGAGTGCACTCCGCCAGTATGCGAACACGCGTAAGTGTTGCGATTCACCTGGAATATACATTAATCATTATTAAGGAAAATACATATAATAAAATTCTGAGTCGAATCTGTACATAAAATATTTTTTGGAAAATTATTGAGATAGTCATTATTATCGATACAGAGGCCGAATTTATAGTTTTTAGAATTATTGTCTGAGAACTCATCACGAGAAAACCACTGGTACAGATTTTGATGAAATTTGGTATGATGATAGCTGGTTATCCGGGCTGTTATCTCTGAGAAATCTATACTAAACGTTAAAACGTTATTAGGGACGAATATGAGCGGAGCGAGGGTGAGCCGCTAGCATGTTTATATTACTTGTATATATATATATATATATATATATATATATATATAATGGCCCAAGGCAGTGGTAGCCCAGTGGTAACGCGCTCGCTTGGTTAATCGAGTGAACTGGGTTTAAATCCCGGGTCTCGCACCTCTGATGTTCTCATGTTTCATGCGAATCATTTCCAATATGATTACCACTTGTTTTATGGTGAAGGAAAACATCACATCATCAGATGAGAAACCTGCATGTTTGAGAGAATCTAACAAATCTTCGAAAGAAATGTAAAGTCCGTCCGCACTTAGCCAGAGTGGTGGACTATGGCCTGATCCTCCTCGTATTAATGCGAGGCCTGTGCCCAGCAGTGGGACGTTAAAAATGGCTGAATACATTGAAGGTTTTTGAAATTAATTTTATGTGAATAATTAATATTACATTAACTCTTAAAATGAAACTGAGAATTTATTTATTTAAACGACCAATACATACTTGTTGTACTTTACAATTTTCCTCTCATTTTAAAAGAAAACTTTATTTCTACCATTTATTTACATACACATTAAATTATAAAGCATAAACATTTTAAAGCAAAATGTGTATTTAATACCAATAGAATTGTCATTTAAAAGTCGATAATTTTGTATTAAAAACTATTTCAGTAAATTGGTCGTTTGAAGAAATAAGCACTGAGACGACGAGTTATTATAAGTCGCCAGATTCTCTTTCAAGGAAAAAGATAAAAAAGGAAGGAAAAAAATCAATATTTACCGGATACAAATTGAGAGGATACACATATTGTAGCGCGGTTTCGTTTGTGTTTAAAACAATGTTTAGCTCCACCGACTCTATGACGTAGAGGGCGTGACTGTCCTCTTCTTTTTCTGTGGCCTGGAATGGGAATAATTATTGAAATCATTAAAAATGTATATTTATAATAAAAGTATTTCAAGAAAGTAGGTACTAATTTTAAAAGTTTTTTTTTAAATATTTACACAAATTTGGACATTCAGTTTAAAATTAAATATTTTAGTCTTTGAGGTGAAATTTTGACTAGAAATATAGCGGTGAGGATATCTTACAAACACAAAACAATAGTATATGTATATACATGAACAAATAGACGTAAAAAGAAACCTTTTGTATTCTTTTTTTAACTTGATTTATATGAAAGAAAATAAATACACCTATATAATATAATTATATACAATATACATATATATTTCCAAAACAATAATTAAAACGTAACTCCATACTCACATTAGGCAACAGCAGACAATGATAGAGTGCAGCAGAAGCACTGGCTATGACCACGAGGGTCGGAGTGTCGATTCCACCCAAGGCTATGATGGAGCACGACTCAGACCCATAGTTATCGTCTGCTGGCGGATACATTGGTAGGGGCCCCTTGAGACTAGCCTGGAGACTGGAAGTAGGGAAATGAAATATTAATTAATTTATTATGTTTACATATTACTTACTAGATAATGTCTAGGGCTTTTCAAAACGTAAATATCAATATAATAGGTGCTACCTATTAGCATAGCTTAATAAAAAAAGAAAGTTTTTCACTTAGAAAAACTGGTTATACTCTTAGTCGTCGATTCTTTTTTAATTATATATGAGACTACTCTTAAAGTTAAACGTATTCATTTGAAAAATATTTATGAAAATAGATATATAATGTAGGATCGGATAACGGTGAGGATATCGCGTAACATACACCCAAAAAATCTTTTACCCAAATTGAGTACCTTCAAATCTAATCAAATCCGTTCTGATGATACAAACCTTTAAAACGTATACACACAACGGACAGTCGGACTGACAGTCGCTTGGACACGTTAAAATTTAAAAGAACTACCCTTATATCCTTACTCTTAAAAAAATATCCTACTTACCCCTTATTATCCAGTTCACATTGCATCATATACACGTCGCCATTACCGCTCAGTATTAGCAGGTGCTCAGCATCTGGCGTAGCTATGAAATCCACTGCCGTATCTCCTAAACTGTCAAGCACTGTCTGACCTAACGAACCAGTCGGCTTCGGGCCTATTGTGAAGATTTTCACTAATTTTGGACCACTTTTCAGTGCTATGTTGTATAATCTGTAAACAGTGAAATAAATGATGTAATATGTAGTTTATAAATGAATTTAAAAGTACCTGGGCTACCGAGCTTCGCTCGGAGTTTTTGACCTACACTACAATTTCCCCATACAAACTTTTTTTTTTTTAACGTTGGGAAATGCATTTACGCACGAGGTGTGGGACTCACCGGCAAAGCCAGTACTACCCACTAAAACCCAACAAAACCTTCCCCCGTCTTAATGGGGCGTCGCAGGATCGCTTACGCATTCAACTACGACGCCCCGACGGCAGGTCTGCCGAAGCAGACCACAAGAACCACGGGGTTGCTCCACAGTCCACTCTGCTATCAGAGAAGTACCAGGAGCAACCCGCATGGTACACTGCCCTCCGAAGAGGGCCACCTCCCACCGCCCACCGAAGTGGGCCACCTCCCTGTGCGTTTCTTGGCTTCGCGCCCGGTTGGGTTGCCGGGCACTACTGAGCCTCCCCACCACGACAAAGTGAACGCACGTTGGGGGGGTCCCCATACAAACATTCATCCCCATTTTCAACCCCTTAAGGGACGAAATCGGAGATAAAAACTATCCTATGTCCTTCCCAGGGTCTCAAAATATCTTCTTACCAAATTTCATCTACATCGGTTCAGTATTTTCGGAGCTTATTCGGTGCGAACAAACAAACAAACTAAAACTCTTTCCTCTTTATAATATTAAAGTATAGATAGGATAGTAAAAATTGTATATTACCTCATAGTGTTGTCTGAAACGAGTACGAGTACATGTGAGAGAGACTTCGGATGCCAATGCACTTTGAGTATCTCGCCTTGCGAGTACAGGAACCTTTCATCAAGGGAGTAGCTTCTGTAATAGACCAAAAAAGTATCTTAGAAGATTTTCATTTTATTTAGTAGCTTCTAGGTTTTGTCCGTTTGTTTTTTGTCGATGCATCTTTTATTAGACTTAGGTTTTTTCATTTTTTAAAACAAGTTTTTGAAAGCTTTATTAAAATGCCTTCATTGACTTCATTTGCAACTAAGTGAATAATTATTGGAAGTCGATTTTAACTGAATTCTAATTAGCGTATCTATTAGAAATTTTGTAAATATGAGAAATGCCAGAGTTTGGATAATGGTGAAATAAAATAAATGGTAGTTTTCAACAGTTACCAGTAAAATCTCAGAGTTTGGCCTTATTTCATTCGCGTTGATGAGTTTTTATTAAACTATGTATATAATACTTTCTTAGATTTACGCGATTCTTAGATTTCTTAGATTTATTTAATAAACTATGTATAATTATTTGTACATATATAAAAATAGGAGGGTATTATAAAACCAACTTACAACTAAGCATTTATTACAACAACAACAAACATTCTTATTACATTTAAACATTGGTTTAGGTTAAAAGAGGTTACAATTAAAAACAATATCCTATAAAACCGTAACGCGCGATTACTTTAAACCGCTGCGTAAGAAAAAAAAGAAAAAGACAAATAAAATGGCCGCCGCAATCACATTATCGCGGGATAAGGGCGAGACCGGACACTTCCCGCGTATTTATCACTCGTAATGAATGAATCCACGTTTTTTCTGATAATGCCCTGGCAAATGCCACCTGGATACTGGTTGTCGGTTACGTTTAGTAATCCTTTGGTTATGTGTGGAGGTTTTATTGTCATTGATTTAAATTTTTTTAACAGTACCTAACTAATCTTACAATTCTAACTTATTTTTTTTATTGATTGTACTAGCTTCGCTCGGGTGCGCTCCTAGTTACGCTTTAACGGTTAGTATGGAATAGATAGGCTACATTTATGATTACTGCTCCGCTGCCTTGTGTAGCATGAAGCGTAGCCTTCCTCAACAAACGGGCTATCTAACGCAAAAAGATTTTTTTAATCGGATTAGTAGTTCCTGAGATTAGCGCGTTCAGACCAACCAATTCTATGAATGAATGCGCCCAGCGGAACTCGAACCTGCGATCGCTGGCACAGCAAGTAGGGTCACTACAAACAGCCAAACGTGTCGTCAATATAATACTTATACCTATTATAAATATAAAAGTTTTTATATGTACATTTGTATGTTTGTACTCTCTCTCTCTTTCAAGCTGAACGGATTTGAATGAAAATTAGCACTCATTGTCAGATACATTATGACCATGGAGTAACATATAGGGTACTTTTAGTAAAATTTACTAGATAGTAAAGACCCGAGCGAAGCAAGGATAAGTCGCTAGTGTGGTTACAAACAGACACTTAAGACAATTATATGTTAGTACCTAAGAGCTTAAAGCTTTGTAAAATTTTGTTTAGTCATATCAATAGAATAGTAAACCATTGGCCATTTTGTTTTTGGCGACGGCGGACCGGATCTATTATGTGGTATTAATTATCTTTTACCCTTTACATTCTCCGTGTGTTCCCTTTGAATTTTCTATTAGGGAGATATTTTATAAGCATAAATAAAAAGCTATAAATCTATCTATATAAAAATATGTCATATTTAAAAAAAAACCTAATAATAAAGAAGTTATTTAAATTATTAGGGCTTACATATATATATATATATATATATATATATATATATATATATATATATATATTTCAAAAATATTTTAAAGTAGGTAATAATATTGTTTTATGACATTATTATTTCTGACAATTTTCCAAAGACTTTTATCTTGATAAATAAGCTTGAGTACATTAATTGCATAACTATTATAAACATGAAAGTTTATATATGTATGTATGTGTGTATTTGCTACACTTTAACGCTGAATGGATTTGGATGAACATTGATAGATTATGACCTGAAGTAACATTATTAGGCATAGGGATGCAAACTTAGCGAAGAGATAAAGAGAGAGAGTAAGTAATAAAGTTGCTAATAAATAATAATATTAGGCAATAACTGATGTAACTACTTTATATAAAGTTATATTATACTCGGTGTTCGTCGGCACAAAATATTATATTTAAGATAAAATTATACCAGCCGACTTAAAAATAAGATAAAAAATAATAAATTAACAAAGACAACGCAATTAGTTACACCGCGGAGCGTATAAAGGACCGGCATCGAAGAAAAGCCGGCGGTCCGTCTGCAAACGTAAATCACGACATTTTTGCATACCAAAGGGTAGGGTCACTACTTGCCGTCGAAAAAATAGAATTACAAACGACCTCACATTAGAACAAACGTACAAATAGGGGCTCGGTGTCTCCGGAACAAAAACCGATAAAACGCGGGGAAGGTTCCGATCCGGTAAAAAATAAGAATTAGACAAAGCTTTCGGACGGGAGGCCGACCTCTATACGTGGCCAGCTTTTTTACGAGCCACAGCCCTTTGTCCTTCCGGGCCTCTTTTTTAAATAGATCAGAGGGCAAGGAAGGACCGGTACGTCCACCCTGAAATATTATTGTGGATTTTTCTGCTCTGCATTCATAAATATTTCGGCCACCCCCCGCGCCGATTCGGCCGAGAATTATAAATTCGGTTAATAAAATATGATACGATAAAGCCGCTTTTTTACTCTCGCGCGGACTTCTATTATATTTTGTTTAATTTAAATATGAATAATTAAATTTAAAAAGGAAATCTCGGGGCTAATGAAATTTTTGTTTTCGAGATAATGAATTGAAAACACGTCGCGGGCGCGGTGTCGCGTCGCTGTTATTCTTTTCTCGCGCTCATTCGGATTCAGGGTACGTGTTTAAAAACCCAAAAAATAATAATTATTTTAATGTATTAATTATGACGATGAATTCTATTTTTCCACGCTTATCTGAGCTCCTCTGCGCTATCGCCGCCACACATGCTACGTTTCACGCACGGACGGGTAATAAATTTATTCAAACATTTTTAATAAATTAAGCTTTTTATTTCGTTTTCGCGTACTTTTAAATTATCTCGCGCAAGATTCGTAGGATAAAATATACAAAGTATAACCAGCAATATAAAACGACTAGAATGTGAAGAGAATGTAACATCGCACAATTGAAAACCAAGTGTAAAAGAAAATCAAATTCAACAACGACGTAATTCTCTCTGCAATTGCGCTTTTGGCTATTTATCGGTCGACCGGCACACGCAAGGCTAAAAGGGATAAAACGGTGCGGTCCAGATATTGGCGAAAAAGACCTACGCCTTTAATCAACAAAAACGGCCGGCGCCGTGATCAAACGAGGCTGGAATTAAAAATAAAAATAAATATACAAGTGAACCGTGAAATATTAAAACAAAAAGCATCGATCCGACCGACGCGACCACAGGGGATTAAAATCGTAACGAACGCACAAAAATATTCAAATACAATACTAACAAATTGATACAAACACTCATTAGGCGCGGATCGCGGAAGGCGACCCCACGACGAGAGGGGGTCCCCCGATCTCTGCCGGCATTACAATCCACATCCAGCGTACAAATATTATCTAAAATTCCTTCTCATTTATAATCCTTTTGTGTCCTCGGTGCGGTGTCCTCCGTCAACCACCCCCTCCCCGCCCTCCCGAGGGGGTTGGGGGTATTTTTATATTTTTAATCGCGTTGGGCATTATCCAAATGGACATTGGCGGTTGTACCGAATGTCGCTGCCGTCTAGATGATAAATTTTTCTTTCGTTCGACACCCGCGCCTGTTTTGTTTTGTCCCTTCCTTTATTTCTATCGGTATCGGAGTGAAAAAGCGTGCGTCGTCATTAATTATCCTCGATATGTCTGCGGCTGACTGTTACGCATTCTTCTTCTTTGGACGATTAAAAATGGTCGGCCGCGGGTTTTTTCCGGTCGAGGCAAATGAAAATTGATTGTGGTAATCCGCGATCGTTTGATGCAGATTCGAAGTGGTTTATTGAATTTCTTGACATGCTTCGTCTGCTTGTGATGGATGTTTGTTATACAAAGCCTTCGTCGTTTTAAAATAACGAAAGTACTTTTATACTTTTCGCCGATTATTATTTATGTTTGATTATTAGTATAAAAAATTATAATACTTTGGTAATATACATAAATGTATTTAAATAATAAGTTGGTATCAAAATACGATTACCGAGATAGGTTTTACAGTCGAGCATCGGTTGCATCTTCAGTCGGGCCACGTCGAATCCAATTAGCATTCTCATCTATAACAGCGGAGGGGAGGCAAAACAACGCCAATACATCCCCCATTAAACATCCGAACAAGAAGAACAATATCTTCCGTAACATAAAATTCGAAAAAAGTTTAATGGAACTGAAATCCCGCAGACCGATAAAACGTTAAAATATACCCCAATATTTTATATGATTTGGATAAGTAAGATCTTTTTGCGGGCAGGGACCGTTTGCATATAGGAAACCGATTCATTTGTATATGTTATGAAAAACGATGGTAAAAATGCAGTAGGTGGCGGGTAAGAATTAATGGTGCGAAAGTTTTGCGGCAGTAGTAGAGTCGGCAATTTATGTATGTTCACGTTTCGCGCTTGGCTCGCTCGGGTTCTACTTTTATTATAAGTTTGCTTACGTGACCTGGTTAGCGCTTTTTCTTAATTAAACTTAAAGCTTTGGCGATAAATTCGGCACAGTCTTTCTTATGCATCAAAAGTCGATGCCGAGGCGAATGCAAATTTTTGTTTCAGAGCAACACTATTATTATTATATTTTCAGAATTAATTAAAGAAAAGTAATCAAAATGAATATGTTACTAGGTGAATTGAGTAAAAAATTGGTTGTAGAAACTTTTTGCTGACATTCCACATTAGTATGAAGTGCGGACCGCGTACGACGGGTGTCGATAGCTGTCGACCGGTAAGCAATCGGTTACCTATGTATACTGGGACTGATTAGTTTGATACTTTACTTAATAATATTATT